AGGTGATTATCCAAATTTTCACCATCGATGGGATTTGAACACCCAACCTACCACTTGGAGGGTTGACAACCTGATCATTTCACTAGGTTGCCACACCCCTAACATGTATAATTAGAAAGATACTAATTATTATATTAATAAAATATTAAAGATTTATAAGAATATTTGCTAGATATTCTCTTTTTTGTGTACCTGCAATATTATTTCTTTCATTTTTATTAGTATATTCATCAGTATTATCTTCATTATCTTCCTTAACTTCATTGTCTGTTAATATATTATTATTATCAATGCAAATATTATATAGAATACAACATGCATGAATTATTCTAATTATTTGTTCTAAATTAATACAATTTACACTATTTAAAATTCTCTACTGATTTTTTAAATATCCAAATGCACATTCAACAATCATTTACATTGAAGATAAAGTTTTATTAAATCATCATTCTTTATGTATTAATCTATCATAATCAGGAAATGGCTTCATTAAATAAGTTTTGAGAAGATATGCTGAATTGGCAATTATATAAGAACCACTCAGTACCCATTGTTCAGAATTATGTAAAATTTCAGAATATAGTGAAGAACAATAAAATACACAAGAATCATATATACTTTCTTTAAAAAAAAAAATTTTTAATAAATAAATATATTAAAATTAATAATAATTTTTCATTAATCTGCTTCTCCAATATGAACATAGGTAAAATGTTCTAAATAGTCTACAACTCCAAAAAGATTAATAAAGTGAAAATTTTTATAATTTACAAATTGGGAACCATTTTTTGAAGGAGGATGAATTGGAATATGAGATCTATCTATTGCTCCAATAACATTCAGTAAGTTATTTTCTAGACCTGATATTCCATGTTCAAACCCTCGTATTATAGTTGCTAATTTTGATCCTTGTGACCACATTATTTTTTCTTGTTTTATATCTAATAATGCTTTCAAGAACCTATCAATAAAGTGACATACTGATTCTTGACTTATTCCAAGGGTTTGTTCTAGTACTCGAATACCTGTTCTATTAGCAAACCACTATAATACAATTGCAATTTGCTTCCAAACAGGTATGGAATTAGGTGCTTCACAACTAAAAACTGGATGTGCCTCCAATTTAGCAACAATTGTATTAAATGTAACAAGTTTAATTCAAAAATGTTGCCGAAATGAGTTATAACCTTCATTATCAGCTAAATTTGGAAAGATATCAATCCAAATCCTCCAGTCTTTGGTCTTTGTTGAAGCTGAGCTCTTATATTAGAAGAAAAAAATGCCAATGAAATTGTCATATTTGTTGTCATATTAGTGAAGGTTAGAAGATGACAGGTAACAGTTATTTTTTTTTGAATCTCCTGATGTTTCTTATTTGCTTTAAATGTTTCCAGTATAAAAAGTAACAAAATAATCCATTGTTGTTGACAGTGATCCATGTTTTTATTTATGTTGAATGTTCTTAGATAAAATGAAAGCAAAAGCGAAAGAATAAATATTCATATAATATAAATTACTGACATATTAAAATAATACTATTATATTAATTTATTAATGTACTATGTAATAAAATTTTATTTAAAAATTATATATTTACATATGACGTAACAATGTAAAGTGCTTGAATGATCTCTTTTATTACTCCATCAATTTTTACTAATAAAACTCAACTCTTTGAAAAAAAAAGATGGTCACAGACCATCTTTTTTTTTCACTAAAATGATAACCCACTTGACTATTCTCCGCTAATTAAATTTTTTATCCCGGCCAATTGATTAAGGCGCTTGAGAGCACCCTTAGTTCGTTAACATTCGGTTGTTGCATAATAAGGTTGCATTATAAGGTTACTTGTGTGATCTCATTGAATACTCAATTAATTGTAAATTTTGCCAACCCAGGGATAAAAAAAAGGTGGTCTGCCGCAAAATGTTTGTAAATTGAAATGATAAACTCGCGTAATAATTTTTACTAATAAAAATTTATTGATTACGTAATAAACTTTATTAAACTACAATGTTTATCTAAATATTCATTACGATGTTAAACACTTTTGACTCCCTTAAATTATTTTCCGCTAAGTAAAATTTATTCACCGACACTTTTTGTCCAATTGATTAAGACGCTTGAGAACACCCTTAGTTAACTAACATTTAATTGTTGCATAAGGGGTGTTCTCAAGCGCCTTAATCAACAGGACAAAAACCGTTGGAGAATAAATTTTACTTAGCGGAAAATACTTTAAGGTCAAATGTGTTTAACATCGTAATGAATATTTAAATAAACATCGTAATTTAATAAAGTTTATTATATTTTTATTATAATACGTGAGTTTATTATTTCAATTTATAAACATTTTATGGCGGACCACTTTTTTTTATCCCTGGCTTGGCAAAATTTACAATTAATTGAGTTTTCAAAGAGATCGCACAAGCAACTTTATCAATAACCTTATCATGAAACGACCGAATATCAACGAAATAAACGTAGTGATAACTAGTATATCGCTCAAGCATCAATTGCAATTCTTATTTTGATTGATTATAGTAAACGAGCATCGTCACGTTTATTAGCTAATCGCATAGAGAATAACGTTTGAGCAAACTTTGATTACTTCTTAATTTGCTTATTCGGTTCATTATACGTAAATATAATTATAGTTGTGCACGATTAAGATTGCGAGCCAATCACATTGAGGTTGAAGCTTGAAAACACCCAAGGTTACTTGTGCGATCTCTTTGAATACTCAATGAATTGTAAATTCTGTCAATCCATGGATAATAAAAGATGGTTTGCCGTAAAATGTTTGGAAATTAAAATGATAAACTCACGTATTATTTTTTTACCAATAAAGATATACAGTCGACTCCAGATATACCGAACCTGCTTATACTAGGGATGGGCAATGTAATAATTATGTAATCGATAGCTAAAATTTAACCTTTACATATTCTGTAAATTATTACATATGACTAAGCAATCTAAAAGTTATCGATTACAAATAAGCTACGCATATCGGTTACGTATATCGATTGCATATACTATATTTATATATAAATTTGTTTTTTATGTTACTAAAATAAAACGATTGATTGTTTGAATGTAATACTGTGATAACATTTATATACAATGTCAAATTGCCTTTACCAAGTTTGTAAGTTCGACATTGCTTCGCGAACTTCCAATTGGTTTCACTGGCCATCCGTTAGGCCTTTTGGCAAGTATTTTATCCAATTGAAATTGATAAAAGGCTAAAGCCAAATGCGTGTTTTGTAATTCTAAGAAGCTTATACCTGGCTCTGCTGTAGTAATGGGTTCTCATACTAGAAAATGTACGACCATTTCTTTAGAAGTTCGAAACTATCTTACTGCATTAAACCAATAATTTAAAATGTACAACGAATGTTTTTAAAACCAAATATTAAATTTGGATGTTTCCTATTTAATACGTATAATGATAACAATTTTGGCATTTATCGCCAGTAGCGATACTACAATCTCTTGTTTCTTTTATCAAATTTGGGGTTAGAGTACAATTTTAGTTCAAAGTTAGGGTTACATATAAAGGTCCATATTTTAGTTAGAATTACCTCAGACATGTATTAGCTAGTAGGCTTTTGAGATATGGTATCCCTGGCGACATCGTCACCGGTGGTAAATATTAACATTCTAATGATAATAATATTTGTATTTAAATAGAAGTTATTCACTGCCTACATTTACTTTGAGAATGCACATAATCTCATATCTAGAGATGGGCTAAATTAATAACATACAATTATTTAATTTGTAATAGATATTACACGGGCTGTTGTGAATATCATGGATTAGCACGGCGCACGTGTAATATCTGATATATTCAACGGTCATTATGCCCGTAATTAAAAGGTTTACTGATGATGTCATACATATAATATTTGCATTTCTGAAATCTGTGACAGGTTAGTCAATTACATGCCTGACTCTATCACGGCGGCATAAAAATTGACCCTGATTATATTACTAATCAAAAAAAGAAATTTTTTAAATATTTCCTTGTCCAAAATCAATAATAAAATTTCAACACAATAGTCAACTAAATATAATTGAAAACGCATAATCAACCTTAATCTTTTAACATCTACTCGAATTTCTTAATTATTTAAATTTGAAATATACAAAAGGTATGGAAGGCAGAACTACAACGAATATACAAATACTTTCTCAGAACAATGACTCGTGTTAAGAGTAGCACTAGTGTTGTTAGGCGAAACTATTTTGGGCAAATGGCGAAAGACGAAACCTAAACCTGGAGAAAGACGAAAGACGAAACTCCCTGGCGAAACTGTCGAAACCTGGCGAAATTGGCGAAACCTGGCGAAACTGGCGAAACCTGACGAAACTGGCGAAACCCCTGGCGAAAGCAAAACTTCAAAACTCAGCGAAGATCAAATCCTCTAATATTTTGAAAAAGACTAAGCCATGTTGATGAATGAAATATTTTGCGTAGTTATTAAGTACAGCAAGTGGCTTATATAAAAAATGTATAAACAAAGCAATAGCTTTTTTGTTTGTATTCAAATACTATTAAAAGAAAATTAGAATTCAAACATTTGATGAAAATAATTTGCGCGTGGTTCACATAAAAACTGTACAAAGTAATAAACAAAACGATAATCATTTGTTTGTATTCAATTACTATTAAAGGAAAGCTAGAACACGGGTTTTAGAATTTATAATTAAATATCCTCAGCCTTGAAATTCAAAGCTTAAATATTTTCTTTTAGAATCTCTTATCTATGTATTAATATTATTCATGTAAATAAACATAAAAGTTTTAATTTAAATTTTAAATAAATTTATTATTAAATTGTCTTTAACATTTCATTAAAAACATTAAGTACTATATATATGTAAGTAGTTCATTAACATTATTATGATTAAAATTCATTTACTGATGCTTTTTAGCTAGTTTTAAACCTAAGTTATTTGTCTATAATAGTAAAATTTGACTGTCGATAATAAGCATTATATATATATCAAATATTTTTACATAATTATATATGTGTTTTGTGTAAATATAGGGTTAGAGCTATATGTGATGTAGAATTATTGAATTATGGTATTACAGCAGTACCTGAATGCCATACATATTATCTGCCGTAATGCCATATTGCCAGAATGCCATAATGCTGTAATCGAAGTAATTCTTGAATGTGTGTCAGGTTTGTTCTGTAGCAAAATTTCTTAATTACTATACATAGCTGCAGCAATAGTAGTTAAATCACCAGTCAAAAAAATGGGCGTAAATCTGCAAAATTTCGGCCCAAATTACATAACTGTTTACTAATTTCTGGCCGGAATTACGTTTTTTAACTTTTTTATTCTCAAAATAGAAATTTTTAAAGAAATAAACCCACAAAATGGTAAAATTGGCCCAGAAACAATGAGCGGCTGTAAAACTTCAGCCAAATTTTTTTATCGTCACTCTTAGCCAATAAATCGAGAATCTGCTGGGTACCCTTATGTCAAGTGAAAATCGGACCCTTCCGGTATCTATATTTGATGTGAAAGAGTAAGTGCTATATGTAAATTTTAATGCTAAACATTTTTAATTAGAAGTCAGA